AAAAAACACTTACCTTAGTGAAACATTAAAAAAATAATCAAAAAATATCCTTATAGTAGTTCAAGCTACTTAGAAGTAAAAGGTAAACTATAGTAGGAAGCCACTTTACCACCCCCTGTATTTTGGACTATAACTCTGAAGTGATATGTATCATTGCAAAAAAAAATCTGAGTATGATATCTATTAACAAATGGTAGTAAATACACAAAATGAAGTTCACAGTATTATAACAGAGATTAGATAATTTCATTATAAAATAAATGTAAGTCCACTAGTTGTGCCAGGTGAATATTATTCTAGAAGTACTCAAGGAATCTTATAGTATGAACTGGAATTCCTCCAAACAGATTTTGCCATTTACATGATCGCTGACAGTCTGATATATTTCAGCTTACTTTTTTATTTACATTTCATGCACAGTATTGATTTTCATTTTCGAACAAACCTTGTTTTGGTTACTTCTCCTCACCTATCTTGTCTACTATGCCTTGCCTTTGCCCTTGACCCTGCTTCCACCCACACAGCCTCCTTTATTTTACGTGTTGCATACATATCCTGTTACTCCCTTCTTTCTCATTACTTCTTTCCCCTTCTTGTGACCTCCTCATAGGTTTCATAGCCTATACCCACATGTACCCCTCCTTATACACATTTATATATAGACATTATTTGTTAGGATCTACATACAAGAGAAAATATGTGATTTTTGTCTTTTGAATCTGGTTACCTGCTCCATATAATTCATTCTGGATCTATCCATTTTCCTGAAAATTTCATTATTTCTGTTTTCTTTACAGCAGAACAAAATTCCATTGTGTTTACACACCATACCTCCTTTATCCGCTCATGTATTGAGGGACATATGGGTGGTTCTATTTCCTTGGCATTATGGGTAAAAGTTGTGAATGTGCCAAGTTCCTCTGTGGCAAGGTAAGAGTCCTTTGGCTCTTAGTAGGAGCAGCAGAGCTGGATGATATGGATGCTGTGTTTATAGATTTTTTGAGAAACCTCTACACCAGCTTCCATAATGGCTGTACTAGTTTACATATCCATTGGCAGTGAATAAGGGCTTCTTTTAGGCCAAAATTTCTGAACTAAAACTTCTATATTTTACCACTTGTTTTTGAATCCATGAAAATTAGAATTCAAACTACATGAATAAATTTACAACATAATTTACAGAAGCAGATGTAGTTATTAAATCTAGTATCATCTCTTCCAATTACAAAATAAAATGTTCTGTGTTCCAACTGGAGACCATTTCAATAACTCTCAGTTGACCCAGAGACAACCCCTCCCTTGGATCAAAATTCCCATGCTATTGTTCCAAAACTGTTGTAAACATTGACCTCAGCTTGCAGCATGTGAGGAGCGAAGACAAAAACAGAACAAACAGAAAGTCACCTCTGTCTCACTTTGTCCCACATGCAGCATGTGCTCCATTTACATGTGTTTAGAACACCACATCACCCAGGAGGTGAGTTTGTCTGCTGAATTTGAAGAGATTCACAGCCATGCTACAAAAGATAGACATACCCAGGGAACAAAGGACTTACTTCAGCCCAGGCACCCAGCGTTTTTCTTTCCTTTATTTTTATTTTATTTACTTATTTGTGTATTTATCTATTATTCTATCATTACTTTTAGTTACAAAATACAGTGCTTGATGATCCAGGTCTACACATCCAAGGCAATTTTGTAGACTGCAGTTTACTTGTTTTCCATAATTAGCATGTACTCCACAAATTCAGGGAATCCATACATTGCAGTTTGTTTAAGAGCTTAGGTATGCGGATTTTTTTCAGTCCTAGCATCAATTCTGGCCCAGCACTTATAATGCCAGCCTTAGAACCATAGAGAAAAAATGGAGAGAAGGGTTGGCTTCTATTTCTGCATTTATAGATCTCAACTACGCTCTTACTTTAGCTTGATATTTCTTCCTGTGATGAGAAATAGTCTGAGTTAAGGCAACAGATCTTTTAGACCTTAATTCTGTACTTAAAACCATATTCTAGGACCCTGGGATGCCAAAGATTCCAACCTGGGTGGCTTAGTCCATATGTATGTATGGCAGGAGGTTTGAGATGGCTTCTTCTTGATGCTGGGCTGCACATCTTCTATGGACATGCTTAGTTTTCAGGAGTACCCATGGAAATAAACAAAGGGACCTTTTGAAGGCCAGAGGCTACCTCATCCCGAGCTAGCATATGTATATTACAGGTCTCCAAGAGTCTGAGATGTCCAAGAACTCTAAATTTGAAACTAATTTTCTAGCGTATTAAAATTATTTGCAAAGAGAAAAATGGAATTGTACTTATTTGCCTTGAGGCTTTCTTTATATACTTTACATACACACAGGCTTCTAAATAGTTAAATACTCTTTTCTTTTAAGCCACAGATCTTTTCCATGTCTTGAAAATATTTTGTTCACTATTTTTATTTTATGTGTATGAGTGTATGTTCTGCATATATGTAAGTGCATCCATGTCATGCACTGCCTGCAGAGGTCAGAGGAGGGCATTGGATTCCCCTGGATTCCTCTGGAACTGGAATTATGTTAGCTGCCATGTGGTTTCTGGAAATAGAACTCTGGTTCTCTGCAAGAGCAGCCAGTGCTCCTAACTGCTGAGCCATCTCTCCAGATCCTTGCACGTCATTACTATACATACTAACCTTCACTTTTGCATGCTGTTTTCAACACCTCAAACTTATTTTTAGCCAAACCATAAAGCCAACTAGTATTTTATCCATGTACTTTCAATGAATTTATTGAAAAGTTCAAATACTACAATTGTGAATCATGGATCATTCTTTAAAGTGACTAATTACTATTGACTTGCTAAATAAAATCACGAGTGTCCCGAGAAATCACAGCCTTCTTCCCCTGACATTTTAAAAAAATATTTTATTTATTAAATTTATTTTATGCGTATGTGTGTATTGCCTGCATGTAGGTAAGTCATGCAATGCCCATGGAGGAGAGAAAAGGGTGTCGGATCCCCTGGAACTGGAGTTATGGACAGTTGTTAGCTGCCATGTGGGTGCTGGGATTCGAACTCAGGTCTTCTGCAAGAACAGAGCATGTTCTTAACCACTGAGCCATCTTTCCAGGCCTCCACCAACAATTTTAAAGAATCTTTTTGATACAGGATATCC